CTGCGCAGCCAGAAAAATACACGGCCCTGGCTGGCTCCAGCCCCACCGTCCTGGCCAGCTGCAGCCCCACCACCCAGGCAGGCTTCAGCCTCACCACCCTGTCCGGCTCCAGCCTCACCGCCCTGGCCAGCTGCAGCCCCGCCATGATGGCCCGCTCCAGTCCTGCCACCCTGGGCCGCCCCAGGCGACAGCCCCGCCATGATGGCCGGCTCCAGTCCTGCCACCCTGGCCGGCCCTAGCCTACCGCCCTGGCCAGCCCAGCCCCGCCACCCTGGCCGGCCTTAGCCCACTGCTCTTGCCAGTGGCGGCTCACTTAGGGTCACTCAACAGAGCCAGCCTGACGAAGGAGCATGGCACAGCTCTTGCTGGCAACTGGCCCTACACCTAGGAACAGGCTGCTGCCCTGTGCCAGACCCAGCTGTGGGAAAGGAGGTGTCTGCCCTTTTGCCCACCTGCTGCTGCAAGATCTAACAGCCACACCCACGCCCAGACTGGCCGCTGCAGCCTGAGCTCTTCCCCAGGATGGCCCCTTGCTGCCCTCTCTGGGCAAAGCCAGTGGCCCTGGGGCCCCTGGTGTCCCTGTGGGCATGGCCCCTCGCAATTGCTAGGAGTCTGGGTCTGTCCTGGCACCGCCCCACTCCGCAGTGCCGACCTGGTACAGCCCGCGCTGCCAGTGAACGGTCTGAACAGCTCATCCTGGGGATAAAGCCAGAGCTGCTCTCTGGGGAGCAAATGAACCCCTCCCTTTTTTTGGAGAGGTTTTCACTATCGGGAGTGTGCACTTGCTAAACAGAGAGAGACAGAGAGACAGAAAGCGAGAAATCACCCCCTGGGGGGATGGCCACGTCACAATCCCTTCTCCTCCATTCTCCTCTCGGGATCTTGGGCACGCACGCACACGTACCCGGCGTGAGTTTTAAGCCATCAGGTCCAGGGTGCAAACCGTGGTCGACTACATGGAAGTCCAGCGACATAGCCATTATGCTAACTGCTGGTTCCCCCATTTTTGTTTTTGTTTCAAAACAAATCTCGTTGATTAAAGAGAGAGCACTAGACTAGGCCTACCTCTGCAGACGCACATGCCCTACGCCGCAGGAGTCTAGGCCACAGCTGCACTGCTCCTGAGGTGGCAGGGCTGCCTGGCAGACCGCCACGGCCTGGCTCCCTCCGCCCAGGAATAACCACACCTCAGGGCACCAGCTCCCGCCTGCCCGCTGCACAGCTCAGCACTCACAGACGGGCGCGGCTGTGTGTTCCCTGCTCAGCTCCCAGGGACTGCAGCTGGGTGGGAAGGGCACAGGGGTGTGGGGCCTGGATGATGCCCCGGAGGCAACGGTGACCACAGGGAGGGTGAGCGGTGCTTCCTGGGTGGCAGGCCCAGTTCCAGCTGTTCTCCACGCACACACGCAGCCAGAGACCTCACGGCAGCCCACTGGTGCTGCTTTGTCACCCCGCATTGCTGGGCAGAAAGCCAAGCCACAGAGATAAATGACCGGCATGCGGTCGTCATGCCAAGTGGCTCCAAGCCCTCAGCCACAACAGGAACCTTCCCGACAGCAGACAAGACAAGCCTCTGAAAGACCAGGCTGCCTTCCCCAGAGTCGCAGGGTGGCTCTGCCACCAAGTCCCAGAAAAGCCACCCTCACAGCAGCACCAGGCCTCCCAGGCCCCACAATGAGCGCCCCCCACCCCTCGGGAAGGCAGAGCCAGCTCTGAGACGAGCCCCAGAGACCACAGGGAAAACCACGACCAGAGAGGCCGACAGACTCGCCCCGAGATGACATGAACAGGCTCAGGACACGCCTGCCAGATACCCCACCCCTCGAAGAGCCAAAAGGATGGCCGTGTGGCGCTACCTGCAGCTCAGCTTTGCTCTTCCTGGAGCTCCTTCGGACAGGGTAGAAATCTGTGAGTTTGCGGTTCTGCTGCGTTTTCCCTTGAGCTCTGGGTGAGAAGGCAGAGGAGAAAATAGGATGAGGTCTGGGAAGCACAGGCGACCCGAGGCACGTGACTCCCTGGCCGGTGGCTCCTGGGGAGAATGGCAGTTGCACACCTTTGTCCCCTGGGGCCTGGAGGCCACCTGCTCCTGGGGGGTTTCAAAGATAGGCTGTTTGGAACCAGCAGATGGCATAATGGTTGCACTGCTGGACTCCCACACAGTTTACTGTGGTTCAAGTCCTGGACCTGGTGACTTAAAAAGTCATGCTGGGCGTGTGTGGGTGTGTGCCCAAATCCCAAGAGAAGAATAGAGGAGATGAGATGGTGGCATGGCCACCACCCTGGAGGGGACGGTGATTTTTCACTTTGTGTCTCTGGTGAGCACACATGCCCTATAGCAAAAACCTCTCTAAAAAAAAAAAAAGATAGGCCGTTTATTCCTCGGGTCAGGGGTTCTCTTCTGCTAGACCGTGATGCTGATGAACAACAGCCAGTGTCAACAAAGCCAAATCCAGAGCCTGGAGTCTCTGACATGAGACAGGCCAACCAGGTCCCGGGCAGGCAGCGGAGCAGGCTGCACTGGTCAGGGACACGCTCTCTGTGCCAGGAGGCGGGCTCCGGGGCCACTTACCTCCTTCGGGCAGCCTGCTTGCCCTTGACGGGCTTCTTCAGGGCAGGCTTAGCGACGGCTGTGTTGGTAGGGTCACAAGACGAGGTTGGAGTTTTTGGAGGTTCTGCTGCTTCGGATTTTTGGTTTGGAAAAGGTGCCAGGGGCCCTCTCCTGGCGTCTTTGATCTTCTGCTCCTCGGACTTCACCGTGCTCCGTATTGCATTGCCAGCATTCCTCTTCTCTGCAGGCGGGGGGAAACAACGGGGTTATCCCACCGGCCGTCTCCCGCTCTCGGCACCATCTGCTCATCCTGGCCTGAGCCAGGCTCTCAGAGAGGATCACGGGTGTGGCGGGCAGCAACGCCCTCGGCCCAGAAAGCCACGTGTTCGCTCGCTGTCCCTATGGGAGAAGTAACTACTTTTTTTTTTTGAGATATTTCTGCTATAGGGTAAATGTGCTTGCTGGAGAGACAGACAGAAAGTGAAAATCACCCCCCAGGGGAGATGGCCACTTCGCAATCCCTTCTCCTCTTGGGATTTTGGGCACACACGCCTGGCAGGAGTTGTAAGCTGTAGGGTCTGGGACCCGAAACGTAGTTGACTACGTGGGAGTTCAGGGATGTAACCACTATGACATCTGCTGGTCCCACTTTTTTTTAATTTGCCAGATGGCACATGTACTTGCCAGAGAGAGCGAGCGAGCGAGCGAGCGAGCAAGAAGGGGGATGTGAGATAGCACCTCCCCACGGGGGTGGCCATGCTGCGATCCTTTCTCCTCCATTTCTCCTATTGGGATTCTGGGCACACAAAGTGCCTAACACATTTTCCAAGCAACGGGGTCCAGGTCTCGACCTGTGCAGTTGACCGTGTGGGCTTAGCCGCCAAGCACCTGGCTGGCCCAGCTCTGTGACCTAGACCACAGGTAGAGGCTTGGGGCTTCTGCACCCTGACACAGAACAGAGCCCGCGAGCCAGAAGCAGTGTGGACGACAGTGCTGGGATGAGGGCTCAGTCAAGAGCACTCCGGAACTGGGCTGCAGACGCACGAGGAAAAACCTGTCCCTCGAGTGGGGCTCGCTCTGGCAGACGGGCGAGAGGACGGTGCAGAACGCTTCCCCACGAGCTGCCTGGCGTGCTTCATTTCAGGTTCTTAAAAAAAGGTTGCCCCTTAGGATGGGACCAAAGTTCTTTGTTCGTGGTTCTGAGCAGCACCCACGGGGGGGGGTGACATTGCCCACCAGCTGTCACTCGAACAGCTGGCAGTGCTCGTACTGGTCGACTGTTTTACTTCGTTATTTATTTTTAAATGATTTACTGCTTAAATACGAGAAAAATCAGGTTGCGTATTCTGTATCTGAAATACTTGAGATCAGACGTGTTTCAGATGTCAGATTTGGGGATACCTGCATGGACATCACGAGGTACCTTAGGGATGGGACCCAAGTCGAAACAGAGTTCATTTTTGTCCCACGTATATCTTTTTGGTCTTTTTGTTTAGTAACAATTATTTATTTAATTTTATTTATTTTAATTTGACCAGAGAGAGACATAGAAGAGGAAAGAGAGAGAAGGAAAGTGAGAGAGGAAGCCACCAGGTCCGGGACTCGAACTGTGGTCGGCCACCACGCCACCTGCTGGTCCCTCTTTGTCTTTTTTAAGAGGGAGAATTTTGCTATAGGGCACGTGTGCTTGCTGGAGAGACAGAGGCAGCGAGTGAGAAATCACCCCCTGGGGGGAGGGCCAGGCCACACTCCTCCGTTCTCCTCTCAGGGTTTTGGGCGTGCACCCACACGCGGCCAGCCACGTACATCTCATACACATAGCGTAAAGGTAATTTGACACAGTATTTTTGAATTGCAGCCTTTTTGAAAAAAAATTATTCATTTCTACTTACTATTATTTTCCACTTGTGGCATCAAGTTGGCATTCAAAAAATTTTAGATTTGGAGCATTTCGGATTTTGGATTTTTAGATGAGGGATGCTCAACCTGTGGTACACTGCTGGTAGGTCTGTAAAATGGTGCAGCCACTGGGGAACACCGGCAGTTCCTCAACAAAGTTAAAAACGCAGTGACCATCCGGCCCAGCAATTCCACTCCTGGGCATCTACTCAAGGCAATTAAAAACATATGTCCAAGGGACCAGCAGATGGCATAATGGTTACATTGCTGGACTCCCACCTACTTGACTGCAGTTTGAATCCTAGACCTGACGGCTTAAAACTCATACTGGGGGCCAGCAGGCAGCATGGTGGTTAAGGCAGCTGGACTCCCATATGGCTGCCCACTGTTCGAGCCCTGGACCTGCCAGCTTGCTTTCTCACTCTCTCTCTCTGTCTGTCTCTGGTCAACTTGAATAAAATAAAGTAAAATAACGACAAGAATAAAATTCAGCAATTCTTAAAAAAAAAGAAACTCATACCAGGCATGTGTGTGTACGTGCCCAAAATCCCAAGAGGAGAATGGAGAAGGGACTGCAGTGTGGCCACCCCTCACGGGGGGTGATTTCTCACTATTTGTCTCTCGGGTGAGCGCACATGCCCTATATCAAAAATCTCTCTTAAAAAAAAATAAGTATTTCTACACAACAAGCTGCTCACGAACACTGCAGCTCCCCTGCAGTGGCCAGAACTGGAGTGCAATCTATCCTTGCAGTGGCCAGGCGTCACTCGGGTTCTGCTTCGCGCCACCCCCGTGTGAGACCCGCAAGGGTGCTGGGGGGCCGAGGGAAAGCGCACAGGCTGTATGACTCCGTTTCTATCAAATGTCTGGACCAGAAATCCGACACCGAAAGTAGATTGGAGGAGGCCTGGGCGTGTAGGGGCGGGGAGTGACTCCCACAGGGCACAGGCTGCCTTCTGGTGATGACAGTTCCGGGATTAGTGGCCGTGGCCACCCAGCTTGGGCCGTACTACAAGCCACTGCACTGTACGCTTCACCGCGATGAACTTTGTGGCACGTGGGTTATACCTCAATGAGCAAGAGAAGAGAGGCACAGCAAAGCCACCAGAGGCCAGCCACGGTGGCCCAGTGGTAACGCAAGCCTCCACGACGCTGAAGCCACATGGGAAGACCCAGGTTTATGCCCAAGCTTCTCCTGTGCACGTGGGGCACACATGTGTGCTTGTCCACGATCCTGGTGGGTGGAAGTAGGCTGGCAGATAAAGATCCCGCTGGGAGACCCATTTCTTATTTTTCTCTTCTAGTTTCCCTAC